GGAAGGAAAATAAAACCCGAGCAAGAATTGTGTTTTCAAGGCCTCGTAGTTTAAAGGAAAGATGTACTCGGAGTGTGGAAAAGCCTCATATGGTTTCACAAGACCGGGACAAAGAAGACAATATCAGTGTTTCAGATATCTAAGTTCAGATTTACAACATCCTGCCGTTAAAAGGGTATTGTTACTGTAAATGAAAATAGAGCGAGATAGCCATGTATTGAGATAGCCGACAGCACAAATGCTTTTAAAAAGCTTGACTTTGCCTGTTGCGGTTACGATAGCGTACGTGATTGGAATTCGTTCGCTTCCTCTTCCAAAATTTTCTCACTTTTGAAATGTCTTAAGCTCAAGCGGGCGCCATCATATTTCGCCAACGAGATTGACTTTTGCTATAGGCTCTCACTTCTTTTTGAACTTGTAACAGCTTTCACGAGCTCTCTGTGAAGTGGTGGAATTTGATGCTGCTTGATAATTTCTAGGCATAGGTGTTTCATCATCGCACCTTCCTATTTATTCTTGCAGCTCCTTTCAACCACCCGAGAATACGAGGGATAACATCAGCTTTTTAGCTGCCAGACAAGCGGCTGATTTAACTCTGTAAACAAAAGCAATTTACAATTTTCCGGGCACACGTTTATTTACAAACAGAGCGTTGGCGATCTTACACTAGCACAATTCCCAAAACATGTTATAATTCCTCATAAATGGCAGGTTTTACAGTACAAGTATTCGAAAACTCCTCATTGGAGGTTTCAGTTAAAAAGCGAAATCGTAGCAACACAAGCACCGGAGCTCGGCCAGACCGTAAATTGAGATTTATTTTAGGCGAGCTTTTTGACACGTGAAGCTGACAACCCAATGACCGGAAGTGATTTTGATTGGATGGTATCGAATCATGCTGCGTGGGGGTGGAAGGCTCCAGTAAAAGCATCTGTGTCAGGCGTTTCTCTCCTTCACCTCTCTCCCTTTTTCGCTTCCATCTTTCCCCTTTTCCCCAGAAACGCCTGATACTCAGGCTAGAGGTCAGGCGAATGCGGAATCGTATTAATTTCTTTCGAACAATACATGAAAATGAGGTCGAGGCGCAGCGAAGCGAAAAACTGCCTATGAAGCAAAAATGTCAATCTTTGTTTATTTGACTCTGTAGAAAGTATTGCACAGGGTATAAAAATTCTATAGAAAACAACAGGTGGTTCTAAAGTAAACCCTAACTCTTTTGGTTCTTAAATAAACTCCATTCTAGTAACTAATGAAAAAAAAATTGGAATAAGAGGTGGGATCGCCTAGCAACACATGTCTTCTTATTTAGCGCTAAAAACGGATATATAAACAAAATACAAACACACATACACAAAGTGTAGCTGAAAACTCTCTATTTCAATTTTGACTCACCATTAGAAAAGCGTTTTCTCCGTTCTATTTCGAGGAAACGACTAACTATTGAAGTCTTAGCGCTTGATGAGCTTATGTTCTTGTCAATTCACGCGCCTTTAGTCAGTTAATTATGGGGGCTGACAAGCCCACGGTTGCATGCAAATTGACTCCACAGTAAAAACCCCAAGGGAGAAACTTGACTTATTATTATAAAAACACAAACAATTAATAACTTAACGAGGGTCATTTAAAACACGGGACAAATAAATTGACAAGACACGAGATACAGTTTTAAAAACTTTATTGAAAACTACTGGCAACAAGAGTCGAATACACAGCGATTTGAAAGAGATGGAAATTAATCATCTTCTTCGCCCATGGAGTACTTGTAAGGTCTAACTCAAAATTTCTTGTGCCGAGTTCGTTTCCTCTGTTTGCCATGAGCATTACGATCATCCATATAGTTTACAAATTGAATATGACGCCTTTCGCGCTTTGGGCCTTGTGATGGGGTTTCTACTGTGGGAGGAGGGGTCAGGAAAGCAGGATTTAAGGGTAGTGGTGAGGTGGAGCTTTCTTTTTCAGGTTTTTGTAAGATAGCCGCTTGTGTCAATTTAGGTGTTACATTAAAGGGGTTAAGGGGAGTGGAGAATGCTGCTGTTGCTGTCGAAGAATCTTGTGTGCTTGATGCTAAGTCTGGAACAGTGCTGCTTATTTCTTCCGTTCGTGTTCTTGTATTTAATTGTTCTTTAAAAGCCAGGTGTCTGTTTTGCAACTGAAAGTATCTCTTAGCTTTTTCATCGTCCCAAAGATCGTTTCGAGAAAGCAAGTCATCCATGTTGCCCTGTATTTCTTGCATAGCTGGAAGAAGTGGGACAAGCGAAAGATTTTGCTGCTTTAGATATTTTAAAAGCTCTTGAGGAATATTTTCTTGAAACCCTGCTTGGTTAAAACCTTCTTCACTGGACAGGACGTTTGTTCGCAATCGACAATTATCTTGGGTAGTAGTTTTCAGATCAGTAAGCAGATAACCAAAAGGTCTTTTTACAGCCTCTTCGTACTGATTTAAAAAGAAATCAGTTTGCCCGGGATACATTTGCTTGGCAAGAGTCAAGATTTGCAATTTGCCTCGTGGATTCTTGAATGGCACCAAACAATGGCTGTTTAGGCTTATGCTGCGACTACCTTTCCCCTGGTGAAATAGATTCTGCACGATATAAATCACGCTTAGATCGCGATGATGAGAACCACGAGTAAAGAAGTTCACAGTTCGCTTGTCTTTGCTGGCGTCAATCATTTGATCACTAAACACGATCAAATTCCGTTTGTTCACATCAAAATAGGAATCCTGCTCCAAAGCCGTAGGATTTCCCTTTACGAATTCAATATGTGGCATGGCGACTAGCATTTCTGTATACGCAGGCTGCCATTGTGAATAACAACAAACAATCCTCTATGGGGTTTGTGAATTGTCTCTAGATAGATATCGAACCCAGGCCGTTTTTCCGGACCCGGTCATTCCGGCAATCATGGAGGTAAAAGGATGTTCGAATCGAAACCGCTGACATTTCTGTGAAAACGGAACTGTTTGAAATGGTGTGAGGCCAACATTGCGGTGTTTAGACATCATCATACCTTTGCATGCTATCCTATGTACTAAATGATTTTTCGCAAACGGAACAGAACCAACTCATGTCAACTCCTCAGGAGCAGAATGTAGACCACAACGAAGAAAACGCTTTTGTAATGGTGAGTCAAAATTGAAATAGAGAGTTTTCAGCTACACTTTGTGTATGTGTGTGTGTTTTGTTTATATATCCGATTTTTAGCCCTAAGTAAGAAGACATGTGTTGCTAGGCGATCCCACCTCTTATTCCATTTTTTTTTTTCATGAGTTACTAGAATGGAGTTTATTTAAGAACCAAAAGAGTTAGGGTTTACTTTAGAACCACCTGTTGTTTTCTATAGAATTTTTATACCCTTGCAATACTTTCTACAGAGTCAAGTAAACAAAGATTGACATTTTTGCTTGATAGGCAGTCTTTCGCTTCGCTGCGCTTAGACCTCATTTTCATGTTTTGCCCAAAAAAAATTAGTGCGATTTCGCATTCCCCTAACCTCCTTTTTCCTTCTTTTGAAGTAAAGATTTTTCAGTTTACCTCTGTGTCTTGGTTTTGTTTACAACTGATTTTTAGTTAATAAAATAATTTAAAGATTAAAGATTTTTCAGTTAGTATAATCTGCAAAGATAGCACGTTCAAAATTTGCCAATCAGGAGACTATAGCAAATAACTGATTATATCAAAAAAAATCACTTTTCTATTTATAGATTATGATCTCAACATTTTTTGATGACGTCAACCCCTAGGGTATTCTGACGTCACTTGCTCCTTGCCAGCTAAAAATAAACTATGACATCATCCTATCTTAATGGAATGCATGACGTCATCAGCATTAATTCAAACAATGACATCATCCTATCTTAATGGATGCATGATGTCATCTACGTTAATTCATTCCACTCAAAAAGTTAATTAAATCCACAAAAAAAGGTTAATTCGGTGCCTTCCCCACTACTGGAAGTTTTGCTTAATAAGCCTAAAGGCGCAGCTCTTTTGTTTAATAAGCACAATTTATTTGCTTATTAAAAGAAAAAGGCGCGCTTTTTTGCTTATCAAGCAAGAAATACCATGTTTCCTGTTTAATAAACAAAGTGTGCAGGACAAACTGGTTTAATAAACAAAAAAGACAGCCTTTTTTGTTTAATAAGCCTATTCCAGAAACATTCTGACAGTCCAGAAACAATCTGACTTTTGTTTACAGTAAGTATGTTTGCTGACGACCCCAAAGTGTACAGAGAACTGTCAAACATAGCAAGAGACAGTGAAGCCTTACAATTTGATGTAGATCAGTTAGTGTCCTGGGCATCTAAATGACAACTTCATTTTAACTCCAAGAGGTGCGAAGTTTTACGTATAACGCACAGATGTGAACTCTCCCTTCCTAAATACTCATTGGGTACGAGCCTTAAAACTGGAAAGTGTGTCAAGGAATTGGGCATTATGGTTTCTTCGGATTTATCCTGGCCGTTAATTAATCAAGCTAACACTTAATTATTGATTTGGCTCACAGAACGGTTGTCTAATTAAAGAAAACAGAAGATTTCAAGTGACTGCTATCATAAATTGAAAAAATATAAATACAGTATATAAGAATTGGAAGAGTAAGAATATATAAGAATTGGAAATTCACAACTGACCTTTGTAAAATGATGTAATGGTGTTCTCACCTTCTTGGTAAGTTTCAGAAATTCTTTCTCCCACATCACTACATCCAGATGCACTTTGCTGATTGAAAAAATACACGATGAAAGATAAAAGAATTCTGAATAAACATTTTTGTAACCCTTACTTACTTACTTATGTTGTTGTTGTTGCTATTTTCTGCTATGGTAAACTCAGATCACGGAGACAAGATATATGCCTTCTGCCCAGCCTGAAATAGCTTATGCTTTCATTGCGTATATCTAAGATTTTTAAGAGATTGCTTCAGTAGGTGTAGTGGCATTCTAAAAGTATAAATCATACACAGATGTACATAGTAGCTGGAGAAAATAAGAAACAAAC